AAAATTATTGTCCAATTCGTAATGATGATCGGTCAGATTTAGCCACTAACGTGGCTAAATCTAACTGATCGTCATTATGAATTGGACAATAATTTTGACTATTTATCAACGCAAGCGCAATAACTTATAACTATAATTCTAAAAATCATGTTTAATCAATTATTCGGAATAAATATTTCTTAAAATCTTTATCATATACCGTTTGTAACATTTATGATATACAACAAATACATTGCTCGCATATGGTGATTATAAATCGAAATATCGAACATCCAATCTATAGGACCTCAAAAATTAATGAGTTAGAATTTTAATACTCACAAATTGTTATTTAGAACCGATCTAGTTGATGATGGACCAAGGAGTCGAATAGTAATGAGTTGAAATTTAAGCAATTTGTAGATCTGCTTGGCGTTTATGTCGTAAAATAATTTAAGAAAAACAATGTGCTTTTTTTTTGTGATAAACAGTAACTAAAGTGAAAGATTTCTGTTTTGGAAATAATCGCTTATTATTATTGGACCTGAGGAGCGCGAAAATTATTTACCGGAAAATCATTAAATTAGTCGGCTTATTTTCCATATATTTTAACTATGATCCTAAATAACAACCCAAATCTTTTTTACATTTTTTTTTTATCTTGGTTACTTTCATGACTAATATCGGTAATACAAAAAAAAAAAAAATCTCATTCATGATTTTACCAATCATTAAACTAAATGTTTGAAAGAAAATGACAAATTTGAAACATCAAAGACATTCTAAACTATTTATTCCAAAAAAAGAAAAATAAAAAAAATAAAGTTGCGAACAACGTTCTTTCCAGTCTTTTCTTTCTTTTTTTTTTTACGACCACGCAAAACCACTTTCCTCTCTTGTCGCATTATTTTTTTGCATATAATGATTCAGCTAAATCAATAATTACATATTTAACACAATAAAATAATAAAATGTATTTCTCAAATCATATTCGCTCATTAAGTTTACTTCTAATAATTTCGGTACAAAAGGTCTCTTCTCAGCAACTAAATAGAACCTATTCCATAACTTCCGATTATCCATATAATAATAAAACCGGGTTTTATTTGCTAACGATCCTACTTTTAATTTTTCAACAATTGAGCCTTTTAGGTAAAATCCGAGCGAGATTCGGTTGAAAAACTTTCGTCAAAAGATTAATTTTATTTTTTCGTTTATTGCAAAAGGTTGTCTTTACATCTTCTATGGAACATTCCGTCGATGGCGAAATTCGCCGGTAAGCCTTCCAATGGTATTAAAGATTCCGTTCTACTTGGCAGTCACCGGTAAATTTTTTCTTTTTTTGATTTCTTTAGTTGTACATTACAATTTTTTAACCTTTAAATAAAACATTTCCTTCATAGATTTCTTAATATATACCATGAATTTTCCGAACATTGTAAGTAACCATTAACGATTGATTTTTTAAAAAAAAAAATGTACGCAAGAGTGCAAAGGTGAAAATCTTTCCTTTACAGTTGTTCTTATTGATATTCCGCCATCCGTGGCCCGATCCGGTTTGTGGAATAATGGGATTCATGACTTCTTTCTACGCAAGCTTAAACATGATACTACATTTAATGATATCAATTACAACGTATATTAGGTTCGTTATCAATGTTGGTCATATCTTAAACATCCACTTTTAATTATAATTCCCTAACGACATACTTTTCGTTTTTAAACATGTTGCTTTATAGATTGTGTCATTATGAGAATTTCTCATTAGGTGCATATGATTGGAAGTTTTTGTCAATCTTATTCTCAGCTTCGATGGTGTTTGCGATAATCCCAACGGATAATTATGGAGTGGACGTATGGTGGTGTTCTATCTTGCATGAAAGAAATTCAAAAGCGGCTTATCTGGCTATAATCATCACTATTAGTATTGTCATCATAAATTCTTATTGCTATGTTAGTGTCATGCGACAAATTCATGTGATTGAAGACTCTTTGAATCGTAAATGCGTTATAAAATTTATAATTTACGTTTCAATATTCGTGTTTCAATGGTAAGAGGATATCAAAAAGACGTGCAAAACCTTTCTTGGTTCAAAATGTTTATCTTTTTTTTTAAAAAAAAAATCATCAGGTTTTTCTCTTTCCCTAATCACATTACGCGCTTAATGGAGGCAAGTATTTTTTGAGGGATTTAATATTTAACGAAAAAAAAAAATACTGCAGGCTGACATAAATATTTTTCTCGTCACTATAGGATACGGACGTGTGGACTTTTATATTGTATGGGGTATCAATGAACTTTGGAGGAATATTAAATGGTTTGCAATATTACATGGTTGAAGGTTGGCCTTCAAAACAAAATCCAACGCTACCGCGTGTTAAGCATGATTTACACGACGATCAACAACCCATCATGCTTGTTGTACAAGATTCTCCCACTTCTATAATATCTCATTCAATATATGTAAAACGATGATTTTCATTTAAATATTTAATTAATTTTTATATGTATTTAATTTAACTACACAGAATCCGATAATTTTAAACCAAGATGGATATCATCCTGGCATCACGACTGCGGGTTCGCTCGATGTTAAGAATTTCATTCATTATTTTATAAAAATTAATAGAACTAATAGAATAATAAAGAGTCGTTCGTGGTGAAAAAATGCGAAATCGATTTTTGTACTAACCATAAAAAAAAATATTTTAAAAAGCATTAAAATTTCCGTTCATTACAGTTAAACAATTGCTATCTTGAATATATTGTAAAAATGTTTTCTTAAAGCATTATAAATTAACATCACGTGCTTGTTTAAATGGTTTGATTTAGATATTTCTTGGTTTCAAATTTTATTGTAGAATACTATATACTACACGTAATACGTTGCGTGTTGGGTTGCTATTACGCTGTCACCAGATATCATTTGAGTTTGAAAGTTCTCCAGTAGAATTTTCCGATTATTCGAATGCTTGCCCTTACCTTTCTGTAACGACCGTGAATAAATAATTTTCTGAGAAACATATTTTTAAAGAATATGAGCGGATATTTGTAGTTTTTTATTGTTAGTAGTAAATAAAAATTGAACTTTTTATATTTACCTAAAGTAAATACAGAATATAATTTAAATAAAGTATTACATTTACCTTTAATATATACATCTTATAATGCATTCTATATTTCTAATTTTTAATAAATAAGAACTGAATATAACTACTCTGATCGAAATAGTCCAAATTGGCTAGAAATTGGATAGCTGATTTTAGGCTGATTTTAATACTATTTATAGCTGATTTACCATGTTTTCAATAAATACAAACATTTGCTAATCGATTTCAATTAGATATAGCCATTCAGCATCAATTCAAAACTTAAATTCAATTATAAATCAGCCTAAATTTGACCTCAATTCAACAATAATTCAGCATCAATTCAGAATTTAAACAACCATTGTTAAGCCTAAACACTACGTCGTTAGGATAACAAAGCTTATTTGCTAACAGGGAGTTTAAATGGTAAACTATG